ATATGAAGCCAAAAGACATAGAATGACCAGACAATTGTCAGGAAATTGTTAAATTCAAAAAGAACAAACAAAATAGAAGTATAATAACCCTTGAGTGAGGTAGAATAACATAAGAAAAGAACATAAAGAAAAGAGAAAAAAATAATAAAAGAAGAAAACTGAATTAGGACAAGAGCAGAAACAAAAAAGGAGATGAGGGATACTATAGTGGAGTAAGAGACTAAGTTAGAGAAAGAAAACAAAAAGAAAAAGAACTTGCAAAGAAGAATGAAAAAAAGAAACAAAAATGAGTTTGAAGGGCCTCTTTCAGGCTATATCACTGCTGTCATAATATACAATATGTGCTGCCATTTGCAAAGCTGAGTCCCCTGCCTGATCTCAGCTAGCTGGTAGCAGAACCCCACAAAGCAGACTGAGCTCGGCTGCAAGGCCCAGACTGAGTTCTCTGACCTCCTAAAGGTTTGAACTCCACTCAGTTCTTCTATAAGTTCCCCCCACTACTTCTTTAAAGATGTTCAAAGTTGAAAGTTCCAGAAAATACTCTTTATGACCACCTCTGCCTCTACAGAGTAGGTCCAAAGACTGGTACAATCTGGAGGTCTAAAAGCACAAGGGGGAAGGTTGGGGGGCATTGTGGATGCCTGCGTGGCTACCTTTCTAGTGCTGAAGATGGCAGCAGCAGTGCCAGCAGGGGAGGGCCCGGCCGAGAAGACCCTCTGGTGCTGAAGATGGTGGATGCTTAATCATGAATCTTACCCAAACAACTTAGTCTTCAATTTTTATTGGAGCTCCACATTTCACAGTAAGGAGGGACAGTAAGGAGAATGTGCAAGTGAAAATGAGGGCTCTGCAACCAGACTATGTGCATTCCAATTCTTACTTTGCCATGCCTGTGTCCTGGAGGAAGTTGCTTAATTTCCCTTTGCCTTAGTTTCTACATCTGTAAAATGGTCTCCACTATGTAAATAAGGTAGAATAATGCCTGGTACATAGTAAGAAATCAACAATTGATTAAGAAAATGGTGATGTTGAGAACTTCTGGGAAGATGGTACAGCAGTAAACAGTGAAAAATCAGCCTCTCCAAGATTCGGAATACAGACACTCAGAAAATACAACTTAGGTGAAGGAAAGGAGAGAGGTGCATTCTTGGGACCAGGAAGGACTTAGAAAAGTGGAGCCTACAGAAAACTGGAAGAGAGACCACAAACTGTTAAAGAAACAAATTACCTATAAAGGAAAACCATCAGGATCACATCAGACTTCTCAATAAGTGAAAGAGAAGTTGGAGTGAAGTATTTCAAGCCCTAAAAGAAAACAACCTCCAACCTAGATTGATGTACTCCACAATATTATCTTTCAAAATTGATGGAGAAATAAGATACTTCTGTGATAAAAAAAACCAGAAGAGATTCCTGACCACCAAACCAGCACTCTAAAGAGTTCTGAAGGATATTATAGAAAAAGACAAGGAATACAATAATCCCCCAAATCCCAATAGGATGAATCCACCAGGCAAGACAAGATATTAAGTAGAAGGGAAAGAAAGGGAATCAACAACAGGAAAATAATATGTTGACAAGGACAAGTCAACATCTATCAGTTGGGAGTGGTCTCAATTCACCAATCAAAAGAATTGGCAGAATGGATCAGAAATGAGATCCAACAATATGCTGCATACAAGAAACATATTTAACTTAAATTCACAGACTGAAAGCCAAAAACTGGAAAAGAATACTTGTAGTCTCAAGGTGCATCCATTTACCTACAAATGACTCGTTTATCCTTCTTTATGGCACTCCATTGTATATTAATATGTTTTCTTTGTCCATCATCTGTTGATGGGTATTTATTGGCCATCTGTACTTCTTCTGAGGATTTATTCATTTCAGTTGCCCATTTTTAAATTGGATCTTTTATTTTGGGAAGTTTAATTTCTTTGAATTCTTCATATAGTCTAGATACTACTCCTCTATTGAGAAATAGCTGGCAAATATTTACATTGTCTCTTCCTTTCTCTGGGTTGTCTGTTTACTCTGTTGATTGTTTCTTTTGCTGTACAAAAGCTTTTTAATTTGATAAATTTAAGAAAAGAAAAAAAATCAGATGTGGTGGTGCACACCTGTAATCCCAGAATTTGGAGGGATGATTGCTGTGAGTTTGAGGCCAGCCTGAGCTACAGCGTGACTTCAAGTCCAGATGAACTACATAATGAGATCCTCTCACAAAAATAAAAAAATAAAAAAACAAAAAAATCACACAAAAGAAACTTTTAATTTGATATAATCCCATTTGTTGATTCTTGATACTATTTCCTATGTAACCAGGACTTTGTTCAGGAAGTCTTTGCCTACCCCATGACATCAAAGTTTTATCTAGCTGGGTATGATGGCACATACGTGTAATCCTTGCAGTTAAGAGGCTCAGGTGGGAGGATTGCTGTGAAGTCGAGCCAAGCCTGGGCTACATAGTGAGTTCAAAATCAGCCTGGACTACACAGTGACAAAAATAAACAAACAAAAATAGTTTTATCTATTTTTATCTTCCTAAAAGGGGTAAAAGGATGAAGAGACATGCTGGTATCAAATGCTTTCTCTAAACATTGACTGTGCTATGATTTTAAAAAAAAAGTTTTAAGTGATACTATCCCTAGAGGATTAACACTACAAAGAATTCTACCCTTGTGAATAAGTTATTTCTGGTAATTTGTAAATGGAATGAGTGTTCTAGAACATGATCAGGAAAAAATCCCAGAAGCATTGTGTGCTTTCATACTCTGAATACACCCTGAAAATATCTACGGGATAGAGCTCTGGGGTATCTTCCATTATAGCTTTAAAAAGCATTATGTGTCAAATGCCACTTCTTGCCAGACAGGTGCAGTGCCACTGAGCTAAATCCCTGGCTCCAAATGCCACTTCTTTGGGGAATATGGGAAGATATATTTCTATTTTTTTGTTGTATTTATACAAATCTAAAATGTATTTAAAGCCTGCATTTTTATATTTCATTCCTAAAGCAAGACTAACAAGTGTGGTTCTAAAAAGCTCTGTGAGGTAGACAAGAGACATGTTAGAATATATTGTGAAATAGGAAAAAAGTCTTCAAATGGGAAGGGGAACTAGGGAGGGGGAGGGGGAAAGGAAGGAAGAGAAAAGGAGAAAAAGAACAGAGAAAAAAAGTGGAAACAAAGCTTTTGTAAATAAGGGAGAGAAGAGGGGAGGGAAAGGGGAAAAATGAATCAAGATATATCAGGCAGAGGTACAAATTCATGTGATGAATTTGTTCATTATTTATATCTATAAAATTTTGGAAAAGTTTTATCTGCTAACAAATTATTTATATCTAAAATGTACCAATAAAATTAATTTTTAAAACTGACAGACCTATTAAAAAAGACATTATTGTATGGAAGAATGAAGCAAGAAAGAAAATGCTTAAGTAGCAATATTGGCAAAATTAAAAGTACATGTTTTATCTATGAATAATATTTTTTGTTAGGTGAACTATAATAATATTGATATCTCTCACCAAAATCATTACCTTTGGAAAAATTTATAATTCATTCTTTTTGTCATTTCAAAATCATCTAATAGTTAGGTGTGGTGGCACACACCTCTAATCCTTGCAAGTACTTGGAAGGCTGACGCACAGGATTGCAAGTTCAAGGCCAGCCTGGGAAACTTAGCAAAAGCCAAAGTACAAGAGAAATTATGAAATGAAAAGAGATGAAGTTGTAGCACTTGTTTAACATGCATGAAATCCTAAGTTCATCTCCAGTACCTCACATGCACACACACACACACAAACTGAATTAAGTTACAGACACTTGAGAATTCAAATGCACTTTTTTATCTTCAAATAAATTTTTTTTGTTTTTTTTTTTTACACTCTACTGTTCAACCAAACCCACTGCAATTTCTGCTCCCATTTTAGGCAACACACTATGCTGGGTAAGGGCTGAGCTTTGGGCTCTGGGCTTACATGGTTTAGGCACAGAACTGTGATTCTACCCTTCTTAGCTGATATACTTAGGCAATTTATTTTATTCCTTGGGGTTTTAAAATGTGTGCTTATAAATATTTTATATGGTGCTTAGCACATAGTAAGAAGAAATATATGTAATTATTTCAAATCATCATTTAGCAACTTATTTTCTGATCATTGTGTCAGAAATATATTGCTTTTCTTCATTTTTCTTTCCTTATCTTTTGATCTTTCTCTCTTTCATCTTTCCTCCCAACTTCCTTTTTCCCTCTTTCTTCTCCCTCTCTTCTTCCCCCATCTCTTTTCTTCACAGTGAACTACATTCCCCAGGCTCCACTCCACCCCAGAATAGTCTTTCTACATTGTCCAAGCTGGCTCAAACTTGCAATGCTCCTGCCTCAGCCTCCCAGAGTGCAATGGTTATCGGCATGCACTACCACACTGGTTTTGCTTTTAATGCTGTAATTTAAAAAATTTTTCCATAATTTAATAAATTTTGGTATATCAAAATAGTTTTCAGAAGGCCACAAAATGGTTTTCAGATGAATACTTCATTACTTTTCTCTCTCTCTCTCTCTCTCTCTCTCTTGGTACTGGAGACTGAACTCATAACCTTGCACTTGCAAGGCAGGGGAGGTGTCAGTGTGCTAAATCCTTGGCCCTTCATTACTTTATCATTGAGGAACGGGAAAATAACAGCCATACAACTATACAAAGTGAATGCCTGGGGATTAATTTCTCAGGAATGCAATGAGATTTTTAAAAAAATACCTATATCTATTTGAGAGAAATTATAGCCATTGTATTGCAAAAGATTAAGGGAACCCACAAATATTTCTCGAGCACTGTCCACATGCTAGTACTGGTTTCGGAGTTGAGGATGCCACAAAAGACAGAGTCTGTCCTGTCCCTGAGTTTACCTCAAAGGAAGGTGGGGAGCAGCAGGGCTTAAAGCATACCTGATTTTTATAATGAAATTATAAAGAAATTAGCACAAATTATGTTTTCTTCACAGTCAGATGTAATTACTTGTGCTCAAGAAGTGGAAATGATGATGAAGCAGTTAACGGCCCAACTGGAACAATTGAAAATGACCATAAGAGCGAAGACAGCTGTCCCGACATCCCAAGTCTTTGTGAGTATTTGTCATCACTTTTGACCTAGTTAAAGGTGAATTTCCTGTGGAGCCCTATGAAAGTAGATTAGAAGTCCTTATAATTATATTTAATTACTAAAAATATAACATTAATTTTATACAAGTCGCTCTTGTTCTTTGTGGTTATTTTGTAGTGATGATCAGCTTTATGTTGAATGAAAGCATTCTCTTTCATAAGCCCTTGAAAGTAAAGGAAATGCAGGCCTACACTATGAGAACCAAAACATCAGTATTGGCTGTGGCAAAAGAAATAACCCATAGCATAGTGCTGAAAATGTGTTCATAGTTGCTAGTAGGAAATTTCCTCTAGCACAGAGATGATGTAACTTGTGACCTTTCTCAAAGGAAAAATAATAAAACCATCATTTGTTTACCATGCATGGACTTCTGTTAACTTCTGTGGACACACTTGGCAGCTCTTACCTGAGCAACCAAGTATAAAATGTTCAAGATGTATTGAATAGAGCATTTGAGACACTGATGAATTCATCCTCAATATTTGGCTTTAAAAACCAAGAAACAAGTTTATTTTTTCCTTTGTTCCATAAGTCAGTGATCTTTATTGTGAATAAAAAATATCTAAAATTTTTAACTAAAATCTTTAACTTGCAACTAACAAGACATACCTAAGAAGTATCTCTATACTTTCTAGGTTCTCATGAATCATTATTGGTCCATATAAATCTTCTACAATGATTTATATTTAGCCTTTTTAATATATACTTGGTCTTCCAGGTGAAGTGTTTGTCTTTCTTAGGTGATCAAATGCGTTTGGTGTTTTTTAAGTAAATTATAATTTGAGTAAAATAAAAGACAAATCTATTTTCTCATATCATTAATGAGTCAAATTTCTGTAAAGTTTATTGTCTAATTTTGTAAGATTTTTGACTTAAAGAGGAATTAATTCTTTATAAATGACAGTTGTATGTATGTATATGTGTGTATATTTTCTTATTTTTTTGTTTTATTGAGACACGGTCTCACTATGTAGCACGGGCTGGCCTTGAACTCGTGGCGATACCCTGCCTCAGCCTCCCAAAAGTTGGGCTTACGGGTGTGCACCACAAGGCCCAGCTACAATTTTATTTATTTTAAAGAGTGCAACAGTTTATAGTTTTACTACACAGTTACATTTTAAACCTTTTTATTTCTCCCCCAGCCCATTTTCATTGCACTGGCCAATCTGTGGATCAGCTTTCAGGATGAAACTGTTTTGATTAGCATCCTCAGTAATTTGACCACTCATCTTGAGCCATTCCTAGGTGCTCAAGAAGTTCTCTTTCCTGACAAAGTAAAGCAAGTTCTTCTTGAGGATGTGACTGTGAAAACGGATGCAAACAGAATAAAAGAACACATGGGTAATGGAAATCATTCATTGTTTCCTCTTCTTTTAAAAATGTATCTCTAGAAAAGTCACTTGTTTTACATTTTTCATTTTATAGATTTCTGATAAAGTATTAAATATCTTTCTTGATTATAAAGCATCAATGTTCACTACAGAAAATTTGGAAAACAAAAAATATATAAGCTAAGTATCTTACTATCCAGGAGTAACCATTCCTAGTATTATTATTCATGTTTTGGTTAACAGTGACTTTCTGTTTGTATGTGTTTCTATTGTAGGATTAGTGATTTTGTTATTGATATGATATGTAGTAGAAAAGGAGATTGATGTTTGCTATATTTGTTGAAAATAGAGCTCTAATTCTTTATAATGGTATTTGTCAAATATCTACCTCAGATTCAAGTCAAGAATTTATAAACCAATTAGTTTTGTCCCTGTCAAGTTAATAGAGCTATTTTTTTCTTTTTAAAGAAATGCTGTCTTTATCAGTAAACTTTATAACTTTTAGTTTTGGTCTCTTTCATCTGAAAGACAATTTAAAATTCATAAGCATACCAAAGTAAACTGTGGAACTTGAATTATTACCTAAAATGAACGTTTTTTTCCAGAAAATAAATTATATGATTTATGAATTTGTTTTCAAAATGTATTTGATAAAACTGTAACAGTGATTTTTTTGTTTGTTTTGTTTTTTTTGAGACAGAGTCTCACTCTGCAGTTCAGGCTGACCTTGAACTCATTATGTATCCCAGACAGGCCTCAAACACATGACAATCCTTCTGCCTCAGCTTCTCCAGTTCTGGGATTACTGGCATGTGCCATCACGCCCAGCTAGTGATTGCCTTTTTGAAACTATTAGAAATTACAAAAATTGAAAACTAAATCAGAGACGCGAAAGTATCCTTTCAGAAGTTGAAGATTTTACTACTCATTTTAGTTTATTAAAATTGAACACGTAGAAAATATGAAATGAAATTGAAAAGTTAAAGTAAGTTCAACGGTAGTTATTAAGCCAAATGAGGTTGGAAGATTACTTCTGACTTCCTAGATTTAGACTTCTTTCGATTTAGAGTTCCACCATGTATCACCTCTCTGTGCACTAGAGCACCATTTATCAAGTTATTCTCCTGTTAATTGAGAGAGCCCATATTCTTCTGAAAGAATTTAATTTACACCTCCCACATTTCATCACTGCTGGAGGATTTGAGCATATAGGAATAAAACAGATTTTTCTCCAAATTATGCATGCATTCACTGTTACTTGTAGCCACAAAATCATTTGGAGTATTTCTGTTTGGGTGTAGAACCAGGTACAGAAGTATGAAAAGCATTACAAATGCGAAAAAGCTCAGAGAATAATATTTTATAAATGTTTTTGTATAAAAATTTATTCAATTTGCTTATCATTGGAAGTAAACTAACTGACTTGAGGAAGAACTTTTTTTTTTTTTTGGTATTGGGGATCGAACTGGGGTCCTTGTGCTTGCGAGACAGGCTGTGGAACCACTGAACTAAATCCCTGGCCTGAAGAACTTTTAAAACTATCAGGAACAGAAATTGTAGACCTTTTTTTTCCTTATTTATTTATTTTAATTGATTAATTTATTTTTTGGTTTTTTGAGACAGGTTCTCATTATGTAGTTGAGATTGACCTGGAACTCACTGTGTAGCCCAGGCTGGTCTTGAACTCACAGTGATCCTCCTGCCTCAGCCTCCCATATACCTTGTTTTTAATATCAAGTTAGTAAGAGACATTTCCTTTATTCTTCCTGCTTAGAACATTTTCTACTGTTTTGAGACACACTTAGTATATAAACATCCAATTCAAAGTATTTTATCATCTATATATTATTAAGAGCACCGTTATATTGAAAGAAATTGCCCTATCTCTGCCGTGGTCACATAGCAACCAGTCTCTTCTGCTCATCCACATTGGTTTATTCTGTGGTGGGGATCAACACTTCATCTTTCAGAAGTTCCTCAGTCAGCTTTTCCCTCAGGAGAAAACCATGCGTGTTCTGAAGTGGCCTCTCCTCTGTGTTTTCTGGAGCAATGATCTACCTCCAAGTTTGCTCCAGCAAGTCGTGTTTGCCTTGGACACAAGGTTATTTGTACTTTCTGGCATGAATAGCCCTTCTCATAGATCTAGTTTTGTATCACATCTTTGTCAGGAAAAGTATAAAGCAATGAAAAGTTAATATTTCTAATGAGCTACTGCTAATTTATTTAGGAAAGTTAATCTTCTCATTTAATGAAAGTTTTTCCTGTTGTCTTTCATTTTAGAATATAGGGTCCATTTGTCAGATTTCAAAAAACTTGAATGGCTTTTCCCGGAAACAACAGCAAATTTTGATAAATTGTTAATTCAATATCGGGGATTTTGTGGTTACACATTTGCTACAACAGATGGACTTCTCCTTCCAGGTATATTATTGGAAACCGTATTACCCCCACTCCCCCAATTTCTTCTTCTGTGTGGTTGTCGTTTCCATTCACTTGCTCACTTTTTTGGGAGGGTGGGTACTGGGGATCAAACTCCAGTCCTTGTGCTTGCAAGGCAGGTGGTGGAACCACTGAGCTAAATCCCTGACCCCACTTGCTCACTTTTTAAAACTTTATGGAATTGGGTGGTGAACCAGAAAGGAACTACAGAGATGAACCAGAGAGTGTCTTTGTCCTGGAGGTGCTCACAATATAATCTGGTAGATTGACATGAAGAATAGGTTATTAGCAATAAGTAATGAAATATGTATACAGGTTGAATATCCTGTATCTGAAATACTTGGGACCAGAAGTGTTTAAGATTTTGGATTTTTTTGAATATTTTCGTTTACATAAAGAGATATCTTGGGAATGAGATCTAAGGGCAGAGTTAATTCATGTTTCCTGAACATCATACATTATAGCCAGAGGTAATCTTTACAGTATTTTTAGTGTGCCTGTGTTTTGACTTGTGTGAACTACCACATGAAGTTAGGTGTGAACGTTTCTATATATGATATCATATCAGGCTCAAAAGTTTTCAAATTTTGGAGCATTTCAGATTTCAGATTTTGGATTTTCAGTTTGGAGATGTTCAGCCTATATCTAAAAACATGGATGCCATAGTATTACAGAAAGGAAATGACTCAAGGCCTAATAAAGTATTCTAGACTGTTATAGTAAAACCTGACCCCTTAGGGGTCTCTGGACAGCCCACTTGATCATACTGTGTAGGAGCAAAATTCAGCTTATTGCCAGCAGCTTCCAGGGATTCAGGTCACCTCAAAAGTGTCGCACAGAACTTTACTCTCATTTTTATACCTTTATGTTTCTATGGGAGGGGGAAACAGCAAGCGTGATCACTGGGGAAGCAGCTATTCATCTAAACATAATTATATAAGCAAAGGGGCCACAAAGTGGGAGCAGGAGGTTTCGCAGGGCTTTCTGAGATCCCTTACTCTGGTGAGTTGCATTACAGTAGTGACTGTAGTTACAATATATCTTTCTTGGCAAGCATAGTCACACAATTAACTCATAGTTGACCATTTTTACACCGGGAGTCAATTTTCACCCTCAATAGTATTGATAAAAATATATCACATTCCAAAGTAATGACTGAAAAAGATTACTATAGATTCTTCCAAGAAAATGCCTAATAAATATTTTCTATCAAGTACATTTTCTCTGATCGATAGATATTGAAGCTTCACCCAGAGAGTAAATCAGATACTGAGGTGAAATAAATTATTATCCAAAAAATGTTGTGTAGATTGGAAATATCAAGAAGCATGCTATGGCTAGAATGGAAACTGTTTGAAAAAAATTGTTTCTTATTCATATCATTAACTTCCTCCTTCCTTTTCTTTTTTATTTCCTGTATTACTGACATGTCAGAGTTGGCAGTTGCTTCTATTCATTATAAAGAATTATTGGAATTGTGTGCATACATGCTAGAAAGGCACAGAAGCTGGCTCATTTTAAAATAGTATTACCTTTTGCATGGGAACTGAGATAATAGAATTCTGAGGTGCTTCTATGTTAGTCGTCTTTTTGTTACTGTGATAAAATACCTGCTATAAATAACTTACGAGGAAAGGTTTACTTTGGCTCATGTTTTCAGAGGGTGCAGTCCATGGTTGGCTGGCTTCAAGGCAGAAAGGCATGGCACAGGAAATCTAATCATCTCATGGCAGTCAGGAAGCAGAGAAGGGAAAGTGCTGGGGACAAAATATACCCTTTCTGGTTATGCTCCCTGTTCCCTAGTGTCCTACTTCTTGCAGCTAGGCCCTAACTCCTAACAGTCCATTCAGCACCCTAAATCCAGTCACTTTCCAAAAGCCCTACCTCTGACACATGAGCCTTTGGGAAGTCATTTTTGATCCAAATCATAAGAGAAAGTAATCAAGAGCCTGTGCAAAAAAGTAAGGAGCAATGGACTACATATAGTTTCTTTGCTTTTCTTCCTTCTTCTCTTCCTGACTTTCTTTCTTTTATTTTGACAAAAATAAGGGCAGGTAGTCCTGAGGAACACACAGAGAAACATGCATGTGGATGATGACAGAGCATGATGTGGTTGAAAGGCCATGGGCTTGGATTCAGTAAAGTCTGTTTTCTAGTCCCAGTTTGTATCATTGATGAATAAGGTGACCTTCAGCAAATCTCATGTCTTCTGTAGACCTCAGTTTACCCTTAGGAAAATTACAGGGATGAGCTAAGAGGCCCATATGGACACTTCCAGTTTCTACCACCTGTGGTTCTAAGAAAAAGGGAAAAATAAGAAAATAGAACTTGCTGGACTATGGGTTTTAGTTTCCTCTCTGAATAAGCTAGCCCTGACCACATTAATTCTGTTTACTGCATTATTTCTACTAACTACATTATTTCCTGGGCAGCAGCAACACTCATCACCCCTCCTTCCACTTGAGGATCTACAGAACAGGGCTTTGAACCCTGAGGTGACTGTGTGGCTTACCCTCAGGGTCCTTTTCCAATGGCTTCACTGACTTCATGGCCCCCACTCTGCTACTGGTTTGCACTGCTCCAGCAGCACTGGCTTTGCTGTTCTGGAACATTCTGAGCCCACTTTCACTTCAGAGCCTTTGCACTTGCAGTTTCCTCTTTATTGAAAGTTCTACACATACCCATAGCTGCATGCCTTCTTTTGTCTTTCCTAATCACCCAATTTAAATCACTCTTACCTCTTTGCTTTTACTATGTGTTTAACTTGCTTTTCTTTCCTTCCTCTTCTGCCTCCCTCCCTTCCTCCTGTAGCACTGGTCTCTCTTTAGCCTCTGATATATTTGCAATTTGTTGAGAATAGGTACTTTATTTTCTTCTATCTACTTGATGCCAAGAACTCTTCCGATAGGGTGTGAGGGCGATCTGGCTGTGACATCGGTCACCTCACGCACTAGTCACCAGGGTTGATTGAGCTAATCTGGCTGGCTAGGCAGATGACCCCTTTCTCCCTCGCTGCTCCAATTGTGTTACTCCTGAAGCTGTGCGCTTGGTCAAAGAGAATGATCACCCCCAAGACAGGAGGATTGTTTTCTCTGTCAGGGTTATGGGAGTAGCTGCACCCCACTGCTGGAACCTGCAAACAAGCTCTCCAAAACTCCTTAAATAAATATTTGTTGAACAGGGGCCAGGGATTTCGTTTAATGGTGCCTTGCAGGCCTTGTTAGTTCAAGGTCCTGAGTTTGATCCCTGGTACTGATAGAAAAAAAATTTTTTTGGTTCAACAAATGAAATTAAATGAATGATAGTATTACTGATCACTATATATTTTCTCCAAATATGTGAAAAATTTATAATCTATAGTCAATACTGAATCTTTTTACAGTGGGAAATATTTTGTAACATGCAAATTTGCATTTTGGAAAAACTGATTGTTGATAATTCTCGGAGTTATTTTACAAATAATCCTTTATGAATCATTTTGGCTCTGTGGAAGTGCTTGGTAAAAACAATCCTTTAATAGTTTATTTTAAGTAGTTTTTTTTTTTTTTTTTTGTACCAGGGATCAAACTTGGGTCCTTCACTTGCAAGGCAGGCAGCACAAACACTGAGCTAAATCCCCAGCCAGCTTAAGTAGATTTTTAAAAACCTGCCAGATGACTAAATTACATTTCATAAAGGATTTTTAAATATTTTTCATTTAGATAGTGAAAGTATTTTATATAAAACATATTTTAAATCACACTTTAAAAAAATGTACAGTTTCATGTAAAATATCATTTAATAAAATACATAATTTAAAAGAACATAATTGATAAGTTAAAAAGTAGGGAATATTTTATGGGTATCATGTAAACATAAATCACTTAATATTTTATGCCTAATTCAATTATTTTTCTTGATTTTTTTAGGAAACCCAACAATTGGAATTTTGAAATACAAAGAAAAATATTACACTTTCAATACCAGAGATGCTGCATATTCATTTGCAGAAAATCCTGAAAAATATATTGATTTAATTAAAGAAAAGGCCAAAAAAAATGCAGAGTTAATTCAGCTTCTGGAGCTTCATCAACAGTTTGAAACACTGATTCCATATTCTCAGGTAAGCAGGTCAATATTAAGCTTATGACATTTAAATATATTTTCTTTAGAAGTTATATATTTTTAAGAGTAATTCCTAAATCCAGACAGAAATAAGAATAGATCAGGGTTTTCACAGGTCACATGAAAAAAATTTACATCTAAAGATGGAAGCTAATGGAATCCACAAAGAATAATGAAAACAAGATATGGAGTTAAACTGATAAATAACAAGTCTGGAAAAAAACCTGAAAGAGAAAGAGAAGGCCTGATAGAGAAATCTGTAGTTGAATAATTAAAATTACAGTATGTTAGCCGGGTGTGGTGGCGCATGCCTATAATCCCAGCACTCAGGAGGCTGAGGCAGGAGGATTGCTGTGAGTTCAAGACCTGCCTGGGCTACATAGTGAGTTCCAGGTCAGTCTCAACTACATAGTGAGACCCTGCCTCAAAAAAACAAAAAACAAAAAAACAATAACAACAAAAAAAACTACAGTATGTTAGTATTGAAAGTTAGAGGTGCTCAGAACAGATAACACAGATGGTAACTTAACTTAGTACTGAGAGTTGGAAAACAATTTACCGGGTTTTAATTATAGTAGGCTGAAACAGCACAAAATGTATTTAAAGATGTGTTTCTTGTATGACTGGGTCTGATTTATTCATCAGACATTTGGTAAGCCATTTGCTGTGTGCCAGGAATATGGCATATGGAGATTACAAATTTTTTTTTCTTTATTGGTACATTTTAGGTATACAGTACAGTTACATTCATCATTGGGATCTTGTACCTTTACATGACAGGTCTTGGTTCTTATTTTATCCCCATTCTGGCAGCCTTCCTTCACCCCCTCCAGCCTTCCATATTTGCAGAGACTTTGTTTCCATTTTTTCCTTTTCTCTTATTTTTTTTCTTTTCCTTTTTTACCTTTCCCCTAACCCTCCACTTCCCCTACACCTTTAGACATTGTTTCCTATTACACAATATCAATTATACATTTTTATTCTAATTTGCACTTTTAGTTTATCACATCAGAGAAACTATTCAGTATTTATGCATGTGTGTCCTATTTTTTGCTTAAGAGTATGGCCTCAATGTGCATCTACTTAGCTATAAATGTCTCCAGTTTCTTGTTCTTTATGGCTGAGTAGTATTCCATTTTATAAAACAAAACAAAAAACACATCTTCTTTATCCAGTCTCTAGTTGATGGGCAATTAGGCTGTTTACAAGTTTTAGCTATTATAAACTGTGCTGCTATAAATATGGGTGACCATGTATCACTGTGGTATGATTCTTTTAATTCTTTTGGAAAGATACCCAGCAGGGGAATAGCTGGGTCAAATGGGACTTCTAATCTTAGTTCTTTGAAGTATCTCCATATTGGTTTCCACAGTAGTTGCATCAGGCTGCACTCCCACCAACAGTGAAGAACGGTTCCTATCTCCCCACAACCCCACCAGTATTTGTTATTGGTTGATTTCTTGGTAGCAGCCATTCTTTGTGGGGTGAGGTGGTTTCTCAGTTTTGTTTTCATCTTCATCTCTTCTCCTCGTTTTATTGTTGTTGTTTGTTTGGTACTGGGGATCGAACTCAGGACCTTGTGCTTGCAAAGCAGGCAGCAGAACCACTGAGCTAAATCCCCAGCCCCTCATCTGCATTACTTGATGACCAGTGATGTTGAACATTTTTTCATATATTTATTTGCTGCCTTTACTTCTTTGTCTGAGAAATGTCTGTTCATTTTAGATGCCCATTTTTGAAATTGGATTGTTAAATATGGGGGTTCTGATTTTTTTGGGGTTCTTTATATATTCTGGATAGTAGACCTTTGTCAAGGAAAGCTGGTAAGAATTTTTTCCCACATAGTAGGTTGTCTCTTAGCTCTGTTGGTGGTTTCTCTTGCACTGCAGAAGCTTTTTAATAAGATGAGATCCCATGTGCTAGTTCCTGTGCTACTGAAGATAAAGTCTTTCCCTAGACCAATGTCTTCAAGAGTTCTACCTAACTTATCTTCCAACAAATTTAGTGTTTCTATTTTAATATTTAGATCTTTAATTCTCTTGGATTTAAATTTAGTGCATGGTGAAAGATAGGGGTCTAGCTTTAATCTTTGCCAAGTTGAAATCCAGTTTTTCCAACACCATTTATTAAAGAGGCTCTTCCCTCCAATGAGGATGGTTGGCTCCTTTGTCAAAGATGAGGTAGCTGAGTGTGTCTGGAGTTGTTTCTCCTTCTTCTAATCTATTCCAGTGATCCTCAGGTCTTTTTCTTTGCCAGTACCATGCTGTTTTTATCAGAGTAGCTTTGTAGTATAGTTTCCAGTTCGGGATTGTGATACCCCATGACTTGTCTCTGTTGCCTAGAACGGCTTTTGCTATTCTAGGTCTCTTCTGTTTCCAAATGAATTTTTTGATGGATTTCTCTAGTTCAGTGAAATACACTGTAGGGATTTCGATCAGGATTGCATTGAATCTGTATAGCAGTTTTGGAAATATGGCCATTTTCACTATATTGGTTCTTCCTGCCCAGGAACAAGGGATGTCTTTCCATTTTCTTATATCCTCTTCGATCTCTTTTTTCAGAGTGTTGTAGTTCTCATTGTAGAGGTCTTTTGCTTCCTTCGTTAGATTTTTTTTCCTAGATATTTCCTTTTTTCGGGGATGCTATTGTGATAGGGATTATTTCCATAATTTCTCTCTCAATGATTCTGTTATTCGTGTACAAGAAGGCTATTGATTTTTGAGTGTTGACCTTCTTTCCATCTACTCTACTGAATCTGTCAGTTAAGTATAGAAGTCTTTTGGAGGAGCTTTTTGGGTCTTCTATGTACAGTGACACATCATCAGCAAATAATGACAGTTTAACTTCTTCCTTTCCTAGCTTTATTGCTTTTATTTCTTTCTCTTGTCTAATTGCTGTGGCTAATGTTTCCAGAAGTATATTGAACAGGAGTAGTGACAGTGAACATCCTTGTCTTCTTTTAGTGTGAAGGTTTTCAGTTTCTGACGATGTAGTATGATATCAGCTGTTGGATTTTCATAGATAGCCTTTATCAAGTTGAGATAAAGACCATCTATTCTAATTTTCTGCAGGGCTTTTATCATGAATGGGTGTTGAATTTTTTGTTGAATGATTTTTCTGCATATATTGAGATGATCATATATTTTTTGTCCTTGACTCTGTTAAGATAGTGTATTACATTTATTGATTTATGTATGTTGAACCATCCTTGCATCCCTGGAATAAATCCGACTTTGTCAGGGTGTATGATCTTCTTGATGACCCTCTGTATTCTGTTAGCCAGTATCTTATTATGGATTTTTGCATCTATGTTAATTAAGGAGATTGGTCTGTAGTTTTCTTTTTTAGCTGAGTCTTTCCCTGGTTTTGGAATCAAAGTAACACTTGCTTCCAGGAATTAATTTGGAAGTATTGTTTCCCTTTCAATTTCATTGAAATGTTGAAAGAGTAGTGGCAGTAGTTCTTTTCTAAATGTCTTGTGAAATTCAGCAGTGAATCCATCAGGACCTGGGCTTTTCTTCATTGGTAAACTTTTAATTACATTTTCGATTTCACTGATCGTAATTGGGGTGTTTAGAATTTTTTTATCTTTTTCGTTCAACTTTGGTAATTTATAAGTATCTACAAATGTGTCCATTTCTTCTGTATTTTCCATTTTACTAGAGTACAGGTTCTCAAAGTAGGATTGATGATCCTATGGATTTCTGCTGGATCTGTTGTGACTTCACTGTTTTCATTACTAATTGCATGGATCTGAGCCTTTTCTTTCCTTTTTTGATAAGGTTGGCTAAGGGTTTATCAATTTTATTTATTCTTTCAAAAAACCAACTCTTTGATTCATTTATTTTTTGTATCACTTTCTTAGTTTTCATTGCATTGATTTCTGCTCTAATCTTCATAATTTCCTCATTTGTACAAGCTCTGTGTTTTTCTTGCTGTTATTTTTCTAGGAATCTAAGATTCATCATCAGGTTGTTTATTTGAGCTCGCTGTTTTCCTAGTGTGGGCATTCACAGCTATGAATTTTCCATGTAGAAATGATTTCATTGTGTCCCATAGATGCCTGTATGTTGTATTGGCATTATCATTTCTTTGTAAAAACTGTCTTATTTCTTATTTAATTTCCTCTGCAACCCATTGATTGTTCAGGAGAGTGTTCAATTTCCATGTGTTTCTGAAGTTCCTATGGTTTCTTATGCTATTGATCTCCAATTTAATTGCACTATGGTCTGATAATATACATGGGATAACTTTAATTCTTTTGCATTTATTTAAACCTGTTTTACGAGCTAGTATGTGGTTTATTTTGGAGAATGACCCATGTGCAGCCGAAAAGAAAGTATATTCTGATTTTGTGGGGTGGAACACTATGTAGACATCTATTAAGTCCATATGTTCAAAAGCTTGATTCAGTTCTAGTATTTCATTGTAGATTTTTTGTCTATATGATCTGTCTATTTGTGATAGTGGGGTATTTAGGTCCCCTGCTACAAATGTACTAGTGCTTATTTGGTTTTTCATGTTCCATACTCTTTGTTTTATATAGTTGGGGGAATGAATATTTGGTGCATATATGTTCATGATTGTCATCCCTTCTTCTTGAATTGTTCCCTTTTCCAGGATGTAGTGGCCTTCATTGTCTCTATTAATCAGTTTTGGTTTGAAATTTACTTTGTGCGTGAATAAGATAACTACCTCTGCTTTTTTCTGGACTCCTGTCACATGGAGAACTGTTTTCCATCCTTTCACTTTCAATCTATGGGCTTCTTTTTGTACTAGGAGTGTTTCTTGTATACAACATATTATTGGGAGTTTGCTTCTTAATCCATTCTGCCATTCTATTTCTCTTTATTGGTGAATCAAGGCCATTGACATTGATGGTTATAACTGATATGTATTGACTTATAATTATCATGTTGTTGATTCTTTTTAATTTTTTGCTCCTCTCTAGTTTCTTGTCTTGCCTAATTGATTTGCTCTGTTGGGCCTCATGGTGTT